AGGTTTCTCGAGAGGCAAGTCAGGTGGTCTGGTATTCCCATCTCTTTCAGAATTTTCCAGTTTATTGTGACCCAAACAGTCAAAAGTTTTGGCATAGCTGGTGGTCATTCTGGCCTTGATACTTACATCTATCCATATAAAAATTATCCTTTTCAGTATATTTGTACAATTTCATCACGGGTCTTCCCTGGTGGCTCAGTGGTAAAGAATTCCCCTGCCAATGCAAGAGTCATGAGTTTTATCCCTGATCTGGGAAGACCCCCCCCCCTGAGAAGGAAATGGCAACCCATTCCAGTATTCTTGCCTGGAAAATCCCCATGGACTGTGGAGCCTGGCGGCAGGATACAGTCCATGGGGTCACAAGGAGGCAGACAGGGCTTAGCGACTGAACAATAGCAACGACATAACTGTGTCACAAAAGGAGAAGATTCCGCAGTCAAAATAGAGCCTGAAGGACATATCTGCTATCTTGTGGACAGTTAACACAGGTGGGCTTGGGAATCTGAGGTCAAAAAATCTTATCAAGTAGTAGGTGATGGGAGGTAATCCCCACCAGTAACAGAGTAGGGCTGGGGGATCTGGGAGCCTTGAAGCCACCCATTGTAATAAAGAGAGACAAAGAACACCAGTTTGCGTTAGGACAGTTTCGTTATTTTGTTTCAGTTCTTTTTCCATCAAGTATCTTCTGCATGAGAAGCCAAAGAAGGGAAGGCAGATGGTAGGCAGAGAGATGAACCAAAAGACAGCTCTCATCTCTCTCTCTTTCTAAGCAACAGCAGGCAAAATAAACTTGGAAGTTCTAGGCGTCTTCCCCAATAACTTCTGAAATTTAGAATCCTAATAATTAAGGTCATTGCTCATTCAAGGGTCCTTTTCGTATGTACATGGAATGATCTAATCCAGAGTCCGTGCCTTTATTCTATCAGCTTCCCTCTTTCTACTCACACATGTGCAAATGCTAAATCTTCCTGTAGTGAAAGTTTTACCCTTTAATGCTTTATCCTACACAAAACCATTTAGGTTTTTATCCCCAAAGCTTAATAAAGGTTTAATTAAGACATAAGGCTTCTATGGCAGGCAATTATTTTGCTTCAGTAAATCAAAACAATGCATGGTCCTTTGCCCTTTCCCTTTAAAAATTTTTATTAACTTATTGAAGTAAAGTTGGCTTACAATGTTGTGTTACTTTCTGCTGTATGGCAAGGTGTCTCACTTATATATATTCTTTTTAAATATTATTTTCCATTATGGTTCATCTCAGAATATTGAATATAGTCCCCTGTGCTAACCAATAGGACCTTGTTGTTCATCCAACCTATATGTAATAGTTTGCATCTCCTCACCCCAAACTCCTAATCCACCCCTCTCCCATCCTCCCTCCTCTTTGCCAACTGCTCTGTTCTCTGTGTCCGTGTGTGTGTGTGTGTGTGTGTGTGTGCGCGCGCGCGCTCAGTCATGTCTGATTCCAGGCTCCTCTGTCCATGGGATTCTCCAGGCAAGAATACTGGAGTGGGCAGCTGTTTCCTTCTCCAGGGGATCTTTCCAAACCAGGGATCAAACCCGAGTCTCCTGGATTGGCAGGTAGATTCTTTACCACTGAATCACCAGGGAAGCTTCCAGGTAGTATGTACCCTGACATCCTTCCATGAGCATTAGGTATAAATGGAATTTGGAGAAGTGGGAGCCCTGGCAGGGATGCTTGGAATGGGCATGCATTGTGAGATTCTTTCTGATCTGTACCAGCTCCAGTGGTGAATCTTCATGTGATGCCTTGGCAGTCACCTTGCTGCCCAGCTTTAAAGGTCACATTCTCACAACAAGGAAACACTTGAAGCACTTTCTGGCTCAGTCCCTACATCTTACTTATTTTAAAATTCTTGGCTGGGCCGTGTAGCATGCAGGATCTTAGTTCCCTGACCAGGGATCGAACCCATGCCTTCTGCAGTGGAAGCATGGAGTTTTAACCACTGGACCACCAGGGAGGTCCCAACTCCATGTCTTGATAAGAGGGTGATGGGTCTGCTTCAGACCACTCTCCAGCTTCAGAGTTTTCATTTAGAGGAGTCTGGGAGTTTGCATAATTGGGGCAATGGGGAGGATGCTTGAAATGGGAAAGTGAGAGGAGGGACGGTGAATGCAGAGGAGTTGGGGCAAATTTATCAGGAAGAGGGGTTCTCTGTGATCTCCATGGGGAAGCCTGTCCGGCGGGATCCAGGGAACAGTGCATCCTGTTGCTAGGGGAAGGGGCCTTTTGGTACCTCTCAGGCTCTCGGCGGTCCTCTCCTGTGGTCTGTCAATCAGCTGTGCAGGGCCCGGGGGCCATGATGGTCAGAGAGATGCTCTGTGGCAAAATGGCAAAGAACTAGCCATGTAAGAAATGTCCCGACTGAGGCTTTTGTGGGAATTCTAGGAGCTCTTCGTTCTCAGTAGGGCGCCAGTGTTTTAGGATGGTAGGCACAGTAATTCCTTTGAACTTCTGACACACAGCAGTAGCCGTGGGGCAGTATAGCCTTCTTGGGGTTCACATGTACAGTCTGGGTTACCATGGGGCCTGGAATCTGCCCTTCTGGCTTCCTGGGCTGTCTGGACAAGCCAGGTACCCCTGGGTTCCACCTAGGGAGTGTTTTCCCTTTAGTTTCCAGCTGAGGCCCATGGAGTCACACCATTAGAGCTGGAAAGACCTTCTGGGTTGCTTAATGCAGTGGTGTTCAATCTTTTTTTTGTTTTTGTGTTTTGAGTAGAGAGCTGAGAGCGCTCTCTGTCCATTTCCCAGTGATTCTCACCTTAAGGTGGCCTCTGAGACACATTCGTGAAAATACAGGGCTCCCCAAGAACCTAGGATACTATTAATCTTTTCTAAAATTGAAATATATTTGACACTTAACATTGCATACATGTAACACATGTTGATCTGCTACCTCTGTATATTATGGTGGCCACGATAGCAATAGTTTGCACATCTGTCACATCACATACTTATCATTTCTTTTTAGTGGTCAGAATAATTAAGACTCTGTCTCTTAGTGAATTGGAGGATTATAATACAATTGGTTGTCTAGATCCCCCCAAAAAGCTATTGGTTTTATTCAACCCCCTCCTCATTTTCAGGCTTCCCAGGTGGCACAGTGGTAAAGAACGCAGCTGCCAATGCAGGAGATGCAACAGACTCGGGTTTGATCCCTGGGTTGCAAAGACTCCCTGGAGGAGGGCGTGGCAGCCTATTCCAGTATTCTTGCCTGGACAACCCCATGGGCCGTGGAGCCTGGTGGGCTAGAGTCCATGGGGTCAACAAGAGTCAGACGTGACTGAAGCTACGACGCACGCATACTTCTAAGAACTAACTATCCTGCAATCAATGATTCCTGCATTTTTGCATATGAGTATGTGTGTATGTATTTCTTTGTATGTATGCACGTGTTTTTCCTGCATATGTACCTACGTGGGGGCTGGGGTCCCTACTATAGTCCCCACACCTCTCACTGAGCTGTGCCCAGAGAAACTCTAACACAGGGGTCCCCAGCCTCTGGGATCTAAAACTTGATGATCTGAGGTGGAGCTGACATAATAATAATAGAAATAAGATTCATAATAAATATAATGCACTTGAATCATCTGGAAACCATCCCCCCACCCCTGAAACCAGTCCCTGATGCCAAAAAGCTTGGGGACCGCTGTGTAACACAGTGTTAACTGAGGAAGAATTCTTATTTCCTGACTTAAGTCTCATATACCTGCTTTCAGTATACCTTAATGAAGAGACCAGCCCAATTCCCAGCCCTGGAAAGAAACGCACTGTGGTGTGATTGCAGACCGGATGTGCTTTCTGCCAGCATAACTGCTGGAGAAACGAGCCGTGTTATTTCTGTGATGATCTAGAAATCGCCTTCAGATAATATGGATAGATTTTTGCATTTGCCACACTGGGATGGATGGCTGTGATGGACTTTGTGTGAATGTCGACTAGTGAGCTACAGCCATCACAGGGTGGGATGGACGTGACAACACAGATATCTACCATTCGCTGACTGGCTTGAGTGTCATCACCTATGTATATACATGTCGCCTAGCAAGGAGGTCTACTCATACCCATTTCACAGGTATAGAAACTGAGGCCTGGAGAGCTTAAATAATGCACACAGCTTGTGGACTGCAGAGCTTATCTGCTGTAGACCCCTGAAACCTGAGCCCTGTGCATCCCAAGGATAGATACCAAAGAGAGTAGGTTTATTTAGCCCAAAGAAGATAAAATCAAAAGCTGAAAGGAAGTTAAATGCTTTCTAAGTGTTAGGATTTTTTCTTCGGTTTTTTTTTTTTTTTTGGTCGCGGCTGGCATTTAGTTTAGAAAGTCCCTGGTCCATCCCATACAAGCATCTGAAGGGGACCCAGTGAGAGGTGCCCAACCCACGCACGTGGCTGCATTAGAGGCCAGAATCTCTGCTGTGAGGCTGGTGAACGATGCAGTGAGCGAGAGGGGAAGGGGACCAGACCCGGAGGGGTTCCAGGCCTCTATTACGTCATGCCGCACTCAACGTGGTGATTTTCCCCCCTTGACTCTTTTTTTTTTTTCTTGAGTAATTTTTTCCCCTAGTTGGAGGAGCTAGCTGATCGGTGCTGGCCACGAAAGGCAGCTCTTGTAGTTCCTCCTCCTGCCATCTGGTGGTGCTGTTCTTTCAGTTATCTTGGTCGCGCTAGTCCAATATTTATTTTCAGTGAGTAATTTGTTTATCAGGAGGTTATTTTAATCTAATTTTGGCCATATTTGCTATTCCACACTATCTGTGCTTCCCAGCGTTAGCAGCTTGCATGTCTTGAAGGAAATTAGCTGAAGATGGTCTCGGAGGCATTTGCTCAGCCATCATTTAAGGGAGCTGGGAGAAAGAAGGCAGGGAGAGTGGAGCCTGGGGTTGGAAAAGCTGCTGGAATTTGTTGCTCTGGAGGTGAGGTCAGCGTGACTGAGAGAGAAGTACTGCGGGCGGGGGCATCTCGCATCTCGGGCAGATCTTTTGAGGGGTGCCTCTGGTCAAGGACAGCAAATTCTGCAAGTTACTTTCCCCATCTTCCTTGAACCCCCATGATAACCTGTATTTTCCTGTATCTTACTCACTTAAGGAAGATGTCCACCTGCCTTCCCGTGGTTCACAGGCATCCCACATCCCATTTGATAATATGTTTCATGAGCTGTTCACTGCCAGCCTTGGAAGAAGGGGGCAGGAAGGTGGGAAGTGGGAAAGGAATTATTGTTAGAGTACCTTCGATGAATAATGATCGTAACTATTAATTACAGAACACTGGCCCTTGTGCATATTTTACATTTTCAGTTTACATATGAAGAAGTTGTCCTTAGGAGAGGTTAATGATTTCCCCCAAGATCCCATAAATAATGAGTGGAGAACTGAGATTTGAACTCAGTTGTGCCTACCTTCAAAGCAGAAAAAGTCTTCCCATTTCAAGGATGATTCCCACCTTCCACATGGAGCCAAGGTAAACCTGGACTTGACTGATGGGCAGATGACCTTTAATCAGTTCTTTGTCATTGTATTTGACTCAGTTTCATTTTCCAGAAACGGGAGGGTTATACAGATTGAGTGGTTTGAGAGTGCTTTAGTAGAAGAAACAATTTTTTTTTTAAGGGAGTCTTTTGAGGAGCGTCGCCTGCCATGTGCTCAGTCGTGTCTGACTCTTTGCAACCCCGTGGACTGCAGCCCGCCAGGCTCCTCTGTCCGTGGGATGCTCTAGGCAAGATTACTGGAGGGGTAGCCATTCCCTTCTCCAGGGGAACTTCCCAACCCAGGGATCAAACTCATGTCTCCTATATTGGCAGACAGATTCTTCACCATTGCACCACCTAGGAAGGCCTCTTCTGAGGAGAAGACACATCTAAAGCAGATGAAACGAGCAGAAGTGGGAGAGCCCAGTGAATCACGGCCTGACCTCGCCCTTGTCACCTCTTCTTTCCCTGGCCCATGATTGACACTGAGAAGCTTCCACGGATGTTCCTTAGGGTTTGAAGGAATGAAGCTTGTGAACCTTCGAAGTAAATATTCTCATGAGGCACTTTCAGAACTCAGTAAATTGTCAGAGATTATAATTCAAAGTTGGACAGATGCATCGTTGGAGGGTTGTAAAACTATGCTCGTTGTTACTGTGTGCTGGTTCTAAGGAAGAGCTCCTCCAGTTTGGCTGAGAGATGCAAAATTATTATCTTCATCCTTAGCCCTAGTCAAGTAACTTTCGAAGCTCTTGGGACTAAGAGGACTAATGAAGCAATTAAACTTAACCTAATTAAGTGAGGAGGGTCAGCTTTCATTGGAAATTAGAATGATGTTAGTATGGTGCATGCTAAGTCGCTTCAGTCGTGTCCGACTATTGCGGCCCCATGGACCGTAGCCTGCCAGGCTCCTCTGTGCATTGGATTCTCCAGGCAAGAATACTGGAGTGGGTTTCCATGCCCTCTTCCAGGGGCTTTTCCTGATCTAGGGATTGAACCCACATCTCTTGCATCTCCTGCATTGGCAGGAGGGCTCTTCACTTCTAGCCTCACCAGGATAGCCCTGTTAGTATGGTCAGGATGGTAAACCACCCTTCCGAGGTGGCCAGGGTGTTCCAGGCACCCACACGGGGTATAACAGAACTGTGGACTGTGGTCGTGTATTTTCTCTGCTTGACATAAAACTGTTGTCTGCAGAATATATTGTTTTAATAAGACTGCAACCATTCTGGTTCTCATACCCAAGAAGGAGGCTGGCTGTGTTTTAACCAGATGATCCTCTTCTTCAGCATTAAAGACCTGGGTTTCTCTCTAGTGCTTTCCCTCTGGCCTGATTATCTGACTGTAACTTTGAGCCATGATGTTGCTTTGACAACAGTGCAGATGTGTTCAGGGAGGCTCAGGGTCATGTGTTAAGGTAGCCTGTGTTTGCTGAAAGCTTAAACCTCTTACTCGCTAGAAGGATGAAACATGATGGAGAAGAGTGTTTGCACGATGGTCTCAATGCTGGCTCTCAACACACTGAACTCAAATCGTGGCCACACTGGGTGGGTTCTGTCAAGATTCTGTGCTACAATTTCCCCATTGGTAAAGCAGGGAAGATGATGCCCCCCAAGGATAATTAGTAAGATTTAAACAAGGTGATGGGTTTCCCTGGTGGCTCAGTGGTAAAGAATCTGCCTGTAATGCAGGAAACCCTGGTTTAATCCCTGGATTGGGAAGCTGCCCTGGAGAAGGGCATGGCAATCACTTCAGTATTCTTGTCTAGAGCATCCCACGGACAGAGGAACCTGGCAGGCTACAGCCCACGGGGTTGCAAAGAGTCAAACATGACTTAGTGACTAAACAATAACAACAATAACAAACAAGTTGATGTACTCATCATGGGAGCATAGTGCTAGATCTTAGTCTGTCTCTATAAAGATCAACGCTTATTTTAATATCAGTACCACTTGAGGAATACTGAGTTTCAGCAATTGGTCATATATAAGCATAAATCCTGTTGCAATGTCATTCCCTCTCCCAACATCTACTTGAGCGTTGAATGATACATAGTTGTTTTTAGTGTCTGTCTTCCTTGTATAAGTTGTTGGTTTTTTTTTTTTTTCAATAAAAGAAGTAAGTAAATAGATGAACACAGAACTGGCCTTCTGAGTTGATCCGCATGCCCTTAAACGTACTTTATTTTCTTTCTGGGAAGCAGGGGTTAACATCCAGGATTGCTGAGCTCTAAATATTCTGGATTTTAGAATTTCGTGTCACCCTGACATAATGAATGACTGGCTATGGATTGACAGAGATAAAGTATCACAAAGATTTAAAGAGATAGACAAAAAGATAAACATCTCAGGGCTCTGAACGTGCATGGTATCTTTCTCATCACGTTCAGGATTGAGTGTACAATTATTTGCATTTGTCAGGTTGTAAGTCAGCTGCCTCCTACAGACGTCTAATAAGAGCAGTTTGCAAAGCACTTTTTCATATATTATCTCATTTAATGCTTACCGTAGTCCTGCCAGACAGGTAAATATTTAAGTCTTCTAGAGCAGCAGCTCTCAACATGAGTGATTTGTCCCAAGGGAACATTTATTAATAATAAGGCCTGGAGACATTTTTGGTTGTTATATTTGCAGGGAGTGGGGGTGTTCCTCGCAGCATGTGGGTAGAGATTGGGATGCTACTAAATAACCTGCAGTTCACAGGGCAGCTCTCCCCAACCCCACCTCAAGACATAATGTTGTTGTTCAGTCTCCAGGTCATGCCCAACTGTTCAGGATCCCATGGACTGTAGCACGCCAGGCCTCCCTGTCCCTCACTATCTTCCAGAGTTTGCCCAAATTCATGTCCATTGAATTATTGATGCCATCCAATCGTCTCATTCTCTGTCTCCCTCTTCTCCCTCTGCCTTCAATCTTTCCCAGTACCATGGTCTTCTCTGGACCCAAATATCAATAGTGGAGGCTGGAAAACTCTTCTATAGACAAAACATTGAGGTTCAAAGAGGACTGCTGATTTGCCTAAGATTGTGTGATGTGCCCTCGGTACACTGGGACTGAAATCCATCCCTCTGCTTCACTCCCAGGGGAGTTCAGATCGTTTAAAGAAATAAAACTGTTTTAGGGACTTCCCTGGTGGTCCAAGTGGTTAAGACTTTACCCTCTGACGCAGTGGGTGCGGGTTTTATCCCTGGTCCGGGGCTAGGATCTCACATGCATCAATGCCAAAAAAAACAAAACATCATCACAAATCAAACAAAGACTTTAAAGATGGTCCACATCAAAAAACAAATTTTAAAAAAAATGAAATAACGCTGTTTTAAACACCTTGGCAGAACCTTTGCATGTGAACACTGACGGCACAGCTGTCCTGGTGGCAGTGGGCTCAGCCTCTTTCTCAGCCCCTCCCCTTAATTCTGGGGCTTCCCCGGTGGCGCAAACAGTAAAGAATCCGCCTGCAATGCGGGAGACCTGGGTTTGATCCCTGCGTTGGGAAGATCCCCTGGAGAAGGCAATGGTAACCCACTCCAGTATTCCTGCCCAGAGAATCCCATGGAGAGAGTATCCAGGTGGGCTCCAGTCCATGGGGTCACAAAGAGTTGGGCATGACTGAGGGACTAACACACACCCCCGAATTCCAGCGACACACAGCCTGGCAGCCTCTCCTATCCATTCAAGGAGACCCAGAGAACATCAGGACCCTGTTGGCCTCCACAGACCTTCCGGATGTCCCTGAGCTGTTATACACTGTTCTGGCAGAGGATGAGAGCATCTGAGTGTGCGTTTTAGTATGATGTGTTGAGCAGTGGTGGGGAGAAGGAAGCGTGGGGGCCAAGGAGAAGGCTGCTGCTGGCACCTTCCAGGTGGTAGGAGAGGGGACTGGAAGGATCACAGGTGATAGTTGTTCAGTCATTCAGTCGTGTCTGACTCTTTGCGACCCCAGGCCCTGCTGCACACCAGGCTCCTCTGTCCTTCACCATCTTCTGGAGTTTGCTCAAACTCATGTCCATTGAGTCAGTGATGCCATCCAACCATCTCATCCTCTGTCATCCCCTTCTCCTTCTGCCCTCAATCTTTCCTAGCATCAGGGTCTGTTCCAATGAGTCAGCTGTTCGCATCATGTGGCCAGAGTACTGTAGCTTCAACTTCAGCATCAGTCCTTCCAATGAACATTCAGGGTTGATTTCTTTTGGGATGGACTGATGTGATCTGCTTGCAGTCCAAG